GCAGTCATGGCATCACTTACCTCACCTGGGATGGAGATGTATAATTGAGTATCATCAGCATCATCCGTGATGGCAGATGATCTCACCCAGCGGTTTCATGCAGATGTTGAAAAGGAGCGGAGAGAGAACCAAACCCTGTGGTACCCCACAAAGGAGGGGCCAAGGATGGGACCTCTCGCTCCCTATCACCACCAATTGGGATCAGCCCCAAAGAAAGGAGGTGAACCAGCACAAAACTGTACCGCCCACCCCTAATTCCCTGAGTCCCAACAGGATACCATGGTCGACGGTATCGAAAGCCACTGAGAGATCAAGGAGAGCAAGAATGGTTGCGCTTCCCCCGTCCCGCTCCCGCCAGAGATCATCCATAAGTGCAACCAATGCCGTTTCCATTCCATAACTGGCCCTGAAACCTGACTGAAAAGACTCTTCCTGAGAGTCAAGAGATCCTCTGTTTAGAATTGACTGTGGTATGAAGGAAAGAGGAAAAGCTGAAATAAGTTAAATGTACCCTTCAGAAAACCTGCTTCTAAAAGCATTTCAGCCTAATGAAAAATACTTTCACATGTTTAGGTTCATGTTTTTACAATGCTACAGTACTTAAATTTTTGTTTTTATGCCATGAGAGGTGACCCTATCCTTCTACCATCACACACTCATACAGTGGTATTTAACCATTTATAGATACAGCTATGTTATTTTATGTGTTTTGTTATGTATATAATTTATATATTATTCCAGTTTTTCTCTATTTTAATCTATTTATTAAATTTGTACATGACCTGGGAATACACTGCATTGTAGATTATTTTAAATAAATATTTCTATATGCCTTCAAACTTGAAGTAAGTTTAAATGGTATAAAAATATGAATTTATATTTCTTGTTAACTCTTATTTCAATATGAAATACATATGTACCTTCTCCTTAATAAAAATATATAGTATAGATAATACTTCACTGTCTCTTTAAGAAACAAGCTGTAGAGAGAAGAGGGAGCTATGCAGAAAAAGAAGGGGAAAACCAGGGTTAAATTTAGTAAGCTAGGCTTTGGTGTAATATTTATACTGGGTTTTGTCCAGTTATATAAGATTATATTGCCTATTTATTAATCATCCGGGACTAATTTATAACTTATTTGATCCATCAAAAATTAAAATATGAATACAGTAAAACCTTGATTTAACAGTCCATTCAGAGAGAAGGTCATGTCCATTAAATCCAAATGTTTGTTAAATCCAACTGTATGTATGTGAATGTATATCATTTCTGTAATTATGTAATTGACCTAAATGGCATTATTTGCAGTAAAGCCTAAGCTGAATGGACAAACACTTGCAGGTGAAATTTGCTAAACTGTGGTCAATTACACCAAGGGTTTAACTTCAGAATTTGTGTTGGGCAACTTGTATCAAATGCTGGTTAAATGATGTTATTTATTCAACAGAATAAGGGGTTTAAAAACTATGAGTTTGACATACCACTCCTCAACACCCTGAACTATGACCCAATCAAGTTAAACACCTTTATGTCCCATTAAATTAGATGAGAATTTTAAGTGTATGCTTTATTTTTCTGTGGTGTTGTGCACATCATATGAAAGCAAATTGGTACGCTGAAAACCAGTTTTGAAACTTAGCAATCTTATGAGATTTGATTGTGGTATAACTCAGAATAGAAGGGCATGAGTTCCCTGTCAAAGAAAATAAGCTGTAAAAAGAATCCTACCTTACATGCAAGCTACTTGTAGCTCAGCCCATATTTGAAATCAGGGCAAAAATTAATTATGTAGGAGGGCAGGGAGAACACTGATAGCCCACTGATTCTTAGGTAATAGTTAAATTCTATTCATACTAATTTGGCTATAAATTATAGATAAATGTTTATATTATATAAGAAGAACAGTTCTTTTAATATGTTCATTTCAGGATCAAACATTATGGGCTTGTTTAGCTGCTATGGCAGTAGCCAATAAAGATATGAACACCGCAGAAATAGCCTATGCATCAGTTGGTGAAGTAAGTAGAACAGTTCACTACTTAATGGCTTTCACTGATTGATTGATATTATTCCATGTTTATCCTGTTGCAGTCTAAATGACTCTTGGCATTTGTTTTATTATTTAGCTTATTAAAAAAAACTAGAGTTTAACCAACTTTATTTTGTCTATCACACTTATTTTTTAAAAACCCAACAGATTGATAAAGTTCAGTATATCAGTTCCATCAAAAATCTTCCATCAAAAGAATCAAGACTGGCTCATATTCTGCTTTTTAGTGGAAATGTCCAGGATGCTGAAACTTTGCTTCTTCAAGCTGGGCTTATTTACCAGGCTATTCAAGTTAATATTAATCTCTACAACTGGGAAAGGTAGTATGCTTCTTGTAGTGTATCTTAGTATGGCAATATATATTTTTGTCTTTGAATTGATTTGGTTATAACAATTTAAATTACAACTTACATAACTTTATCCCATTCCAAGTCCTTACTTTTTCTTTCAGAATTAATGCTGATGTAATATATACTAAAGTTTGTGACATGGCATGTGGAATTGTTGATAAAGAAACACAAGTCCCAGCCCTATTTTGCTACACAGATTTTTTTTAAAAGCTTTTAAACGTTTTCATATCAGTAACTCTTTAGGTCCATGTATTCCTGATTTATGTATCTTGCTCACATGTCTAAAGCTAGACAGGGAAGGCACCCAGAATGTATTGGGGGAGTGAAGTTCTTCTGGTCACTGCTTCCCACCTTCAGGTTGGTTCCTTCCGAAAGAAATTATCCTGAGTTTGGAAACATGATTTTCCTGTCTAACATAAAATTCCATCCTAAAAATGCTACCTGTGAAATCTCTGAAATGTCACATGGTAGCCTTAGCCATTCTTCTCTAATAGTTCAGGTTTTTTGCCCCAGTCTACAAATATGGAGCCGTAATATTCTTTCCTACTTTATAATGAACGTGAAGTATTTTAATAATGGAAAGTAGCACGGACATGCTATTTATTAATTGATAAAATGCATTCCAACCCCCAGTGTACCTAGATTTTCTGTGCAGTCTCTCATTTTACTACTTAAGCCTATACATGTTCAGTTTCAGCAAGACTTATATACTGTGGGGGTTTTGCTTCTGGTCCTTTAAAGAAAAAAGATTAGTGATAACTGTGCTAATCTTTAGTCTGATGGATGCAAAGCAGTAATTGTTACATTGGTAATAGGAAGCTGTTACTGTTTTACAGTGTAAAGAGCCAAATTTGAGAGTTTCCAGTCTCAAGTTTCATGGGTAGGAAATTCTATGTGATGTGTATAATGTTCTAATTTGCATATGCTTATTGCACATATAGAGCCTTCTACATAATTGGAAAAGAACAGGAATAATGTTCTAATTGAATTACTGTCCATTAGTAAGCTGCCCCATGATCCTTAGAAGGGGGTGGGGGCGAGGAGGCAGAAAGGTTCACCAGTATTTTTTCATTGGTACAATGATTGTTTCTTATGTTTATACTCAATCCAACAATTATGTTTGCTGGATAATATAGCTTAAATTTATTAGAAATTGTAAATGAGCTGTATTTAATGGGGAAAGTATTTTTCAATTTTATAGCATTATAAGAAAAATAGAAACACTCATTCTTGTAATATACTTCGTAAAATTAATTTAAGAACTGTTGTCAGCCCTAATGCTTGGTTTCTTCTTGCTATGTGATAAGAAAATGTTTCACTAGTGCAGTTGCTGTACAGCATGTGTGTTTGTAAAACCAAGGCATTTGTGATTAGTTCAGTTTCTGAGTTCAGCCTGATGAGCTTATTACTGTTTTGCTTTCTTCTAGAGCACTAGAACTTGCAGTGAAACACAAGACGCACGTTGACACAGTGCTGGCTTACCGACAAAAGTTCTTGGATGACTTCAGTAAAAAAGAAACGAATCAGCGATTTTTGCAATATGCAGAAGGGGCAAGTATTCTGTGGAAGTTGAGTTATACTTTTTGAAACTCTGCCTTATAGCTATGAAGCAATTTCAGACTGTAGGCCAGTGTGTATTTAATAACACCCTGTGCTTGTACTTTAATTCACAGTATGAAACAAAATCAACAACTTGATTTTTTTTTTTCAGGATTTCCACTTTGAGGCTCAGTTATTAGCACTGATGGAACAAAGCCAAACTATGTTAGGGGATATCTCCTTACAGTTATGAAAATCATACTGTGGAAATACTGTAGAGCTAGATAATGTAGGTATAGAGTTTTTATTTTATGGGAAAAGACAAATATTAAGGTTTTTTTCTGCTGCTGAAGCCTTCAGGTTTGTGGTTTAACCAGTACAGGCTAATCCAGTGAAAGATGCTGTCTTAACTTATTCTGATATGGCATTCTGAGGAAACATTACAACAGTAGACATGTTGTTTAGCTTAGTAAAGCTTTTCTAAGGTATACTGAGTTTTATTTGAAAATCATATGCTGCTTTTGGCAAGCTGCGCCGTAATGTTCACACTCCCCTGTATAACAGAAGGTTAGAAACTTAGAACACTGTCATATGGGACTCAGCTAAGCCAGTAGTATCTGGCAAGTCTTGAATACACTATAATAGATCACAATAAGAGCCCTCTGAAACAAGATAAAATAGTTGTGGTAAAGAAAAGCTTCGTATGGCTTTCAAATCACAACAGATATCATGCCATATTTGATGGAAGTAGAGCCATAATCCACAGTGGGTAAGGAAGAAAGCTGAAATCCAAGTAATTTTATTTCAGAATCAAATTCTCATGTGACACAAGTTCATCATTGAGGGGAAAAAATATAACACATTCTTGGACCCAAAGAACTTGATCCATGACATAGGGGTTTTTTGGATCTTGGCCATTTGATAATCTTTACGAAATTAACTAATTTGTCAAACTGAGATCAGTACAAAGAAAATGGGCTATTCTCTTTTTCCTTCTGTCCTATAAAATATATGTATATGTATTTTATAAAATCATAGAATATATGACTTAGAAAAAAACATACAGATCATCCAATCCAAACCTCTGTTCAGCACAGAAATTCTCTAACCCATTCCTGGAAGGGTGTTATCCAACCCTTGTTTGAAAACCTTCAATATAGAGAACTAAAGGATCCCCACCATTATTATAGGCAGTTTGTTCCTCTGTTTAACTGTTCTTAGCATCAGGAAACTCCTGATGATATTCAAACTGACTCTTTTTATTTCAACGTACTGGTCCTTCTTCTGCTCTCAGTTTCAGCAGAGAACAGGTCTCCCCATCTTGCACATGATTGCTTTTAGATATTTGTTAGATTGCTATTTTAGTCTTCTCTTTTGAAGAAAAAAAAATGCACTCAGCTCCTTGGTTTCTAGACCCCTTATCATCCTGGTACTCTTTTCTGAACCCACCCCATGTCCCTTTAAAAGTGTGGTTCCCAGAAGATAGTACTCTCAAGTCCATTCTGGACAGCAGAGATTATCTGCAGTTGACAATTATATTATTGAAATCAGCATCTTACTGTTGACATGATTACTAGTTAAGACAAGAAATGCCATATTAATTTGATAAATTTTGCCCAGTTTTATTATGTTCCTTAAAGAACACGCTGTTACAGAATGGAGAGTAGAGGGGAGAAAAGCTAGTACAAAGCATAAATACTACAGTACTGTACTTGTGGAAACAGATACATTACTGGTGCCCATTTTATTTCACTTATCTCTTGTAACTATATGTGCAGTGTTTCATAAACTGGAATTCTTGAAAGAAGTTGCTCAAATATTATTCATAAATAGTTACATAGTTACATACAATAAATACATTTCAGTCACAGTTACTAGAAAAGTCTGAAGACATGTATTGCACTCTGAATTTTTTCCATGTCAGTGAGTCATATAGAAGAGGTCAAATTATATCTGCCCCAGCCAGTGGCTATCAACACTGTTCTAATAGCTTAGAAAAAAATAGATAGGAATAAATTTGCATTAGTTAGACTACAAATAATAAGTATTGTCCACAATTACAGATTTTTAAATTTTACAGCTTGAAAAACATACATCAAGATGAATTATTAAATTAGATACAGGACACACACACAAAATGTTTTTAATTATCAGGTAAAAAATGGCATGTAATGTTTTATTTCAATGGGACTTAATTTACAGCTCAACTGTATGTATATTTGTTCAGAATTAAGCACCATTACATTTGTTTCTTTTATGTATTTATATACAAGTTTCAGTATTTATATCATGTTTCTTATTTTAAAAATCCTAATGCTATTTAGAATACTGTTCAGTGGAGGCTGCTCCCAGATAAACTTAGCTGAGGTGGTTCATTTGTAATAGATTTAATACCATTTGAAATATCCATTTGAGATTCATAAAAGTAGAGGTGCAGTATATTGTGTGCTTACGTTAGAAATATATAACATTTTAATTCTGCACAAAAGTTACCTTTAGTATGAGGTTTGCTAGAGCTATTAATGTCAGGCCTAGCTCAAGGAACTCCAAGAGACAATGCAAATTCAGTTCAGCTTTGTTTATTAGCTACAACCTCTACCAAGAATCTTCCCAGACTGAAACTCCAGCTCCGAAGCCAGCCAGCCACAACAGTGTGAATTCCTCAGGGAGGTGCCAGTCTCATCCTCTTATATCTCCCACGCTCCTCTGGCAAGCTAAGAAAATGTTTATATCCCTGAGCCTGGCCTTCATAATTCCATTCCATCACAATTAACATGTATTGTATAAATAGTACAGTAGCTCATGCACTTCTGCATAAAATTATTAACAGTGTTTTTAATGCCTCTGAAATACACACAGAATTATTTCACACAACAATTACAACTATTGGTAAAGACTTGTATATATAAATGTACATGTATACATACACACGTTCATACCCATCATGCTATTCATTTTTGATGTAAACAACATTACAGGTAGTCCTCACTTAACAACCACAATAGAGACCAGAAAATTGGTAATTAAGCAGGACAGTCATTAGTGAGTCACCACGTGATTGGACCCGATTTTATAACCATTTTTATGACGGTTAAGCAAATCACTGTGGTTGTTAGGCGAATCATGTGGTCATTAAGCAAATTCAGCTTCCCCAATGGACTTTTTTGCCAGAATTTGCTTAACAACCACGTGATTCACTTAACAACCATCATAAAAAGGTCACAAATTGCAGTTGTGATGCAGGGGGTGGTGCAACAGTTTGCAATGGTCATAAGTGCAAGTACAGGTCGTAAAACAATTTTTCCAAGGCAGCCATAACTTTGAACTGTTGTTAAATGAACAGTTGTTAAGCAGGGACTACCTGTATCCAAAGAACAGAAGAAAAGAAAAATTGATAGGCAAAAGAAAGATAAAAATGGGAAACAAGGAAAAGGAAGCCTAATTAAATCTAGTTTATACCAATACTACTAACTATATTTTTCCTTACAAACCATCTTTGTTTCCACCACATCCATATGTCTTTATTCACTTTTGTTTTTTAATTTTTCACCTTTTTTGAGGATCTCATCAGCTCTAATATTCTCAGTTCTTCCCCATACTTACAACTTTTTCACTCTTGCTCCACATATTTGGTATTTCAATTCTCATTCATGCCCTCTGTATGACCAAGGCACCTCAACATATGTATTTTGTACAAATCACTCACATTCATTCAGCATTCATTCATTCTTGACCCTACTTTTTCTTGATTTACTAGATCTATATTTTTAAGTACTATAACCCCACTGCATTCAGTTTACTTTTATGTTTTCCTGAGATACCCAGCTTTCACTGTGGGCAAATCATGCTCTTACATGCAATTTTGTTATTTCAACAAAATATGTTCCTTGCTACAGACAGTGTACTACTATTTTTCTCTATACTTTGTGCATCTTTAAATATATCAAATCTATTTTCCCCTTTTTAGTAAATATTATAAAAGTACACAAATTCATCTACTTGCTCTAATTTTTCACCATTTATATATATCTTGCAATCTATTAATTTTCAGCCCATATTCCTCATTGAATCATACAATGTATCTCTTATTCACCCAAACCATTCAGCATTGTCTCAGTACAAAAGTAAATACAAACTCATGTCCCCAGCCAACATGCCTCTATCATTACCAGAAGCATATGATCTTTCTCCAAAAAGTTCACAATGTTTTTCTTGGTCATGAACATTTAAAGCATTCCTTTAATTCCACTCTCCAACTTATCAGTGTTCTTATACAAGTTTCTAAAATACTTATTCCAGCATTCCCAAACTTTGGTTTCCATGCCAAATTAGTCCATCACTTTTCTTCTTAATTCCATTTACTCTGTTGCTCCTTTTCATTCACTTTCAGTTTTTTCTATCAAATGCCTCTGCATTTTATCTGCTTCTTTAAAACTCAGATATTCCTTGTTATCTTTGACTACATTCATTTTTTGTCCATGCTCATTATACATTAACTTTCTCTCATTTTTTGCAATGATCATTTTCTTACATACATTTATCTCATCCACAGCCTCTTTTACATCATCACTCCGCCGAGCATCCTTTGTATTGTTCCATATTGTTCCATGGTACTCTGGAACAGAACTCTTTCCATTGCATTCCAAGCAGCTTCCACATCTTCTTTCCTTGTCTCTATTTTCTTTTCATTCTGCTGGGAGATTAAGCTGCCTCCTAATACCTTTTCAGGTAGGAGTCATACATTCTCTTTTTGCAGCCATTCTATGTTAATTCACCTGTTTTCTTTCATTTTTTTCTTCCATGTCCATTTTTTTCGAAGATCCAATCTTGACACTACCAAATAATGGGTCTGTTTCACATTCAGAACCTCTTATTACCCTTGTATCCTTCGCTAATTTTCTAAGTCTTTCATGATAAACAATCAGACCAGTCATGCCATTTATATTTATGCCATTGCCATGGGTATGAATGAACCGATGTATTCTTAAAGCAATATTAGAAGCAAATATCCTATTTTCATTCATTCTTAAGACTGCTTTTCTCTATACTACACATTCAGCATTTCCTGCTAACTGTCAGGTTCGGTCAGCACGAGGTTTCAGGGAAGCACGGGGCTGCAGGGAAGCTCG